TGGTCTCCCCCATCCATGTATGGTCCTTCTGATTGTTCCTTATTGGCCTGTTCAACCTTGATTTCCATCGATTGCTCCAACTGCAGGTGGTGTCTCCTCTTCCCTTTCGTCTCAACCTGCTTCATGTATCCCAGTCACTGGCATTCCATCCCCTGTCGTCTGTCCTTCGTCTTCACGCCTAGCTTTTGTCAGGTAATTTGGTGAGGAGTTTCAGTTTTTCTCACAGAGTAGCTTCACATTTGACCTGTTCCATTTGCCCTTCTTCTTTGGTTGTCTATCAACACAACTGGAGTGTTTTCTCACCCAATGGTTGTCTGTATCTCCAAGTTTTTCGTGGCTCTTTGAGAGGGGTTCTTCAGTCCCCTCTATTTCAGGTGGCATTATCCCATACATTCCATTTTCCCATTTCAGCAGGGTCTTTGCTTCCACTGTCCTTTCCATGTTGATCCATCGAGGCATCCGTCGCTTCTGGACTGGAACCTGACCAGGTATTCTGTCTTTACTTGGATGGGTTCCACTTAGGTGGCTATAACCATTCGCAGACATCTTGCTATCAAATCCACACTGTAAGCCATGTTCATTCTTGTATGTTTTCCATGGAGATGGGATGTTTCACAATAGTGTAAATTCCTCGTGATAACTGCATCATAATATGCCTGTCCCGGACCATACCACCCATGGATATAGCAGAAAGGGATTGCTGTCCATCCCTGCCATTCAATGATTGAATAAATCGGTGTGTACCGCTTTTCAGAATATGGTTTTGTGATCACCCATTGCACTGTCTTAAGTGTTGCAGTCCCTCCAGACTTTCTACTGCCCTTTTTACCTCCTTTCTTCCAGTGGAGTACGGGAGTCCTTACCATTTACCAGTTTTAATGGGTCGACAAAGATGGCTACAACCATTCAGTTCAGAATAGGGTGGTGGTGTTCTGCTGGTGTAGAAGGATTTACAAGATCTGGATGAGTAACTCTGGTGTAGAAGGATTTACAAGATCTGGATGAGTAACTATTTCCTAGAGTTAAGATGCCCAAATGCTCTGATTGGTTGCGCTCCTCCTACTTTTGTGTGGATGTTGGTACCCAGCGAGTGAGGTTTTGGAGATTGAGTGAATAAGTCCTAACACAGGTTTTGGGTTGTCCATCTTTTCCTCTCGACTTGTCTTCTGTGTTGTGGGTCACAGACGGTCTATGTGGCCTGTTTCCGCTACTGTCCTTGGTTTTCCCTTGTTGAATGATGAGGTTGTTACCAATCTGGGGTTGTTTTGAGCTGGTTTGATGGTTGCTGGGGTTGAGTGCATGCAATGGACTTCCCTCGGATTCTGGATGGCACATTCCTAGATCCCTGGTATTAGGCTACCCTGCAAGTTCCTGGAGTCTTGACTCTGGAACTTGAGGTGAAGACAGTATGATCCTTATTCCACCCTCATGAGGATGTCTCTACTGAGTGAGTAAGATTTTGAATGTAGTTGACTTACTGAGTATGATCCGTCATGCCATAGCCACTCTACACCATGGGACACTTTCCATCGTGGGATTGAGTGATTCTGATTTCTGTTTAAGATCACATTGCTAAACTACACTCTCCCACGTGGATGTGCTTCCTTTAATGTTCCACCATGTCTGGTCCTCCTGATCATATCAATGTTCCTGGTGAAGAGATACCTACCAATCTGCTTGTGGGTCAATGACTTTGTTGGTTTCAGGACCCATAAAAAGGTACAAGTCATACAAAAAATATATAATTATTGCAATTAATCCCACTAATTACTACTGAGGTTCCCAATATATTTTACACAAAACATGAAATATTTCAACCAATTATTTTAACTAGTTCTTTACACTGAGGGATGCAACAGGCAGAAATATATAATTATACAATATGGTGTAATATATGGACCCCACCAAAAGTGAAAGGTATGAAAACAAATTTTGAGGGTTAACACTATTCATTAGTTTCAGTGTTTCTGAAAGCTCATGAGAAACTTCTTTCTTAAGCAGCAGTTTCAATTTTTTGTTTTTCTATACAGGCAGAAGTTAAACAGCTATTATTCAGTTTTTTACATTTTTGTGACATTTTTCAGTGTATCAGTTTAAACGCTCATGAACAATTCTACTGTGAATGAACAATTTCCCTGTTCTTTTGATGTCATCTCTTAATGCTGTTCATGTAAGACTTTTTGATTGTTTATGACAGTTTTGGCTATTGATTAACAGATTTCACTTTCATCTGTATACACAATAAGATATATGATGGCATGTAAAAGTTGATGAGATTATATGTATTTGGAGAGAGAGCGAGTCCCATTGTAATTCTAAAAATGAAGTTTAATATATAGCACTATACCTTTAGACAGGAGTGCTATTTCAAATTTCAGTGTGCAGTGAGGCAACTTTTAAGTGAGATTAGATTTTTTTTTTGGTTAAGAAATTAAACAGTTTATTATGGGAGAATTTTGTGTGATTATTTTCTATATTTTTTAAAAATCGTATTAAAACACAGTTAAAAAACAAGACAACCAGGAAATTTGGCTTTAATGTTTTTTAAATTTCTTGTCTTTGAAAAGTAAGGTAGCCTTAGGTTTGAGACCAATACAGTAATGTTGGTAATAAGAATAAATTCCACAGGATGTTATTATATCTTTATATTTTTATGCTGGCTGTAGGGCACCAAGCATTCATATTGTAAGAATATCAGCTGATTGTTGAGAGTTTACTTATGTTAAGGCTTTTATGCAGTACATAAACGAAGTATTACAAAATGGGCCTGGTGCTGCTTGGGCTTTAAACTATATGGAAATAACAGAATAAAGAAAAAAATGTAATAATGATTATTTATGTAAAATGAAATGTCATGAAATAGTTAATAGTTTACATTTTATCTTAAAATATTTAACACAAAGGGTTAAACTTCATTCCCCAAATGCTTTCTTACTGATTGTAAATGTTTTCAGCAGTATGACAAGTACAACTAAATCTTAAGCTTTTTTTTCTTTACATACTGTGGAAGACTGGTTGATGCAGTTTTCATTCATCTTGGCAAAATAATTTTTAAAGCTTAACACTAATCTGTCTTTGAAGCTTAGTAAGAGTAGAATAATTTGCCAAGTTATCACACATGTAGTTTAGTTTATAATAATTTTGAACACAGTTAACTTGCCACATGGAAGATAGAAAATCATGTCTCATCAGTCAGTTCTTCTACCTTCTGCAGTCTCTTAGTCATGCTCGCAAGCTAGTCAGGATCACTCGCAAACTTGCTCCTGAGGCAGAGTGCTGTGAATTGTTGATGATTATGGAATTTGTAGGAACATTTTGGGAAATTGTTAAATGAAAGTGGCTGTACAGACTACACTTTTTGAATATATTTTATGTTCCTAAATTTGAAAAGTTGAATGAAACAATGCGGGGCTGCTCTTTGCCTCTCTCCTAAATGCCACCCATATATCTAGAGTGACAGTGAGATTGTATTATCCATGAACATTAAGAACAGGATGTGCCAGAACAGAAAACATTATTCTGGAAATGTCACCTTTTTCTGTACAATCCAGAAATTTTTGTAATTCTGACTAAGAAGAGAAACATTGTTTATGCCTGAGAATTTTTTTGTCTTGCTTCTAAAATTGGAAGAATAATATATTTTACAATTCAGATGAATTTTATGGCTGAGCTTGAAATCTGGTAAGGCTATTTTGTCCCAGTCTAGAAGACTTCACACATCAACAGTATCATATTTTCATTTTTAAAGCATATTTTTTATAAACCATCAGAGTCATCCTCCCTAATTAGAAGTTTTTTGATACTCATTTGTTTAAAAAAATATTAAAACTGGTAAAAACAAATGTTTTGGCTAAAACATGAAAAATCAAATCATTCAATTGAATTTCTCATTACAGCAACATCAACTCCACATATTAGAACCAAATAAATAAGGTATGTGCGATTAAATCCCTATGTGTCTTGAAGAACTGACATGTAAGTAACCTTACTGGAAGGCTGAGAAATATTGTTTTGAAAACTTTTTTTTTCCAAATTTCAAGAACATTTACAAATTTGAAAAAAATATTTCTATGAAATATAACTGGGAGTTTATATTTAATAGAAAACTAAGTATATGCCTTTTATGTGGCTCAGAATGTTAATACTACTTTCTTTTTTTACCCTAAGTTTATCTTATGTTCTGTATATGTTAAAATAATAAAAGTAAGTTCAACTAAAACAAGAAAACTCAAACCTTCATTAGTGTAAAACAATTTTTGATAGAAATAAGCAAAAATCTATATGTTCAGAAATATGTTAATTACACGTAATTTATTAGTATTGCCTGTATCTTACTGTACTTTTGTTTAATAGAACTATTATAATCAGGCTTAATGTTGGAAGAGCTTGGACTTGGTTTGGTGACAGAAAAAAAGTATAAACTTGTTCAAAATACTTAGAAGTCCAGAGGAAAGATTATTCTGAGAAATGTTAGTTTGTTGATGATACAAGAAACTAACTTGTGCTTTTATTCTCTATATAGTCACTTGTTGCATGCTTTCAACACAGCATTAAGACAGGAAAACTTTTTGTTAATATGTACAATTTGTTTTATAGACTAAGGTTTGTATGTTTTATGATACACGTATGAATTTTTTTGTAACGTGAAAATTATTTTCAGATTTGGACGTCACTGGGTTAAAAAATGAGTTCTGAAATGATTTTATTGCACAGTGTGTAATTTTTCTCTTAGTCATGCTTGCTGTGTAAATTATATATATGTTGAAATATATGAGATATTTTGTTGAATTTCAATTTATGTTTGAGCTAAGGACTTGTAAACAATGTAAAAACTCTTAACTTTTAACTGTTTGGTTTCACAAGAAATGCAATATTTTTGTTGTGTAAAGTGTAACTACTGTAGCATGATTTCTTGAGCTAAATATACTCTACTGGCAGGGGTCAGACCAGTAGTCATGTAATTTTGGTCATGAGGCTGATTTTTTTCAAACTTTCTGCAGGCCAGCCTTGTAAAAATGACTGTGATGGCAGCAGAATGGTTGGTATGTGGTGATGTATTTTTCTGTCTGCAGCACAGCACTTGCTTTCCTCTGTATACTGTACTGTCTTGCTTTCTGGCTTTCAGGTAGCATGTTAACTACAGTTTCTGGTAGCATAGACCAAATGCTTATATGGGACTTACCATAATTGGTAATTTTGTTTTCTTCACATAAATCATCTCACGTAATTCATTCTATTCACTTGAGAAACATACTCGTTTGTGATAGCTATTTTTTTTTTCAGTTTTTCATAGATTTAATTTTTAAATTGGAATATACATTATTTTTTAATTTTGGTTTTTACAGGTGGTTTCCTATTCTGAGATTCACTTCTTATGAACCTTTGAATTAATTTTTTTGTTATTATTATTATTTATGATGTTACTTTAAAGACCCTCAATCTGTTTTTATGTAAAATTGTGAAAATATACAATTAAATACTTAAGAATCTGTTAAAAACATCTACACATTAATAATCTGCACATATGTCATCTCTTGCTGTTGGGTAAATTACTGTGAAAGCAAGATGGTATAGTAATTCATATAAATAGTACTTCAAAATTATGCCTATTCACTCACATTGGAAAAATGTAATGAGCCATAATATTTCCAAAATAATGTAATATGTTTATGCACTAGTTGTAACCAGTTAAAACTTGTGAACAATCATTTTCTGAAAGTTGCACAAAAGTTTTTAGCTGTATTTACAACATTATACAGATATTCAAAGTTTATGCTGTGTTTATGTAACTGTTTGATGATGATAATTTCTTAATTTGCACTATATTTTTGAAGATCAAATGAAACAAACCTAAGTATAGGTATATATAGTTTGTTGAAGTATATCACAACACTCAGAAAACAAATGAATTAATATAAATTTACACAGTTTGTACAAGTGTATTAATGACATTCAGAAAAAATCAGCATGTAGGTATAAATGTAATTTGTTTATACAGGTGTATGGGTGATACTTGGGAAAAAATGAATATGTAGGTATAAATATATGCAGTTTACATACATTTAATACTGATATACACAATTTGTAAAGTGTATTAGTGATACTCAGGGAATTATTTATTTTTTGTTTTAAACAACATTTCATTTAATTCCACTTAGTATTAGGGTATTTGATTCACAATCTATATGTCAAGGATCAAACCCCATCACCAAACATACCTTTTTTTAGCCATAGTAGTGTTATAGTGTGAGCATTGGGATGATGTGGTGGTTAGGGTGCTCGACTTGCAATCTGTGAGTTACAGGCTTAGATCCTCTTGCTGATTATGCTCACCCTTTCAGTCAATTCCACTTTTAGTTGGTAAAGAGTAGTCTAAGAGTTGATGATGGGTGGTGTTGACTCACTGCTTTCCCCCTAGTGTATTACTTCAGAGTTAAGAACAGCTAGTGCAGATAGCTTGCGAGTAGTTTTGCACAGAATTTACAATAACAAGTTATGATGTGGCAGTCAATCCCACTATTGATTAGTAAAGAGTAGTCTAAGAGTTTACGGTAGGTCTGTAGATTATCACTTCAAAATTAGGAATGGCTAGTGCAGATAGCCTTTTATTAGCTTTGTGTGAAACTCCACAAACAAACTCAAATCATTGTGTTTCACTTGTTCTTTACAGAATATTAAATCATCAATTAACACATGATCTTTATATATCTACATGCCTTGATTAAATACAGCTTTTTATATATCTATTGGAACTAATTAAAAATATCAATTGTAAAGCTTGTCAACTGGAAAGTGTAAAGAATTTGTTTGTGTTGTTATAAATTCTATGAGGAACAAATATTTATTAAAATATTTTGATGCAAAAAATAAAAGTTGATATTTCTCATTGATATTAATTTTGTAGTTCTTACTCGTGATTAATAATATGTTGAATTTCTTTTTTTTCTTTCTTTAAACAGTAAGGTTGTTCTATAACTGCCTGGTGGCTGATCTATTTTCTTAATTTTCCTCTTCCAACTTCCTGCTCATTTAAAAACTTGCCTAATGCATGCTTTTATATATATTTGTTTTTTATTGTTTTTAGTTTCTAATGTGATTAAGTATAGATGTACTATACAAGAAAAGTTTTTAACTTCTGTATTAATTATTTGATAAATAATATGGTAGGGTATTAGCATTAATTTGTAATGATATCTATAAAATATTGCAGTTAAATGTTTCTTATTTTCAATATAAATTTCAAAAATGTATTTTTATTTTTAAAAAACAAGTTTCTCACTTTTTGTTATAATTAATGTTAAGTGTTTTGCATTAAATATTATTTGGCATGTATGTTTAGGTAATTATTAGATTTATCATACTATGACTTGTGCGCTGAAAGTTACAATTTAATGAAATATTCAAGTGAATTTTTCTTGCATGACTATTTACTGAGTAATTTTAGGAAAAGTTTTAGTTGATATGAATCTATTACCTCTTTAATTAGTGATAAATATGTTATTTATCTGGCTTTAATTGTAATGAATTTAGTATTTTTCAGATAAAATTAAATAAGTTACTCATTTCAAGATTTGAATATCTGAGAGTAAAATTATTAAGTTTCAACTAACTAGGCAAAATAATTTCAGAAAAATTACAAGGTTGTTGAGGAAAATTTATCTTGTGTAATACACTTAGTTGTTTTATGTTTGATATTTTTAAATTTACATGATAAGCAATGGAAATTTGTTACTTCAATAACAAGATATTTTGTTGAAGTATAAAGAACTTAATATTCTGCATGAAACTAAATGTGTTGCATGTTCATGTTTTGTCTATACGCTTACTGTTTATATTTTTTTTTTATGGTTTTATATTTGTTATTGCACATATTCCATTAACATTTCTTTAACTTTTAATTTGCCTGGAAGTACTTGTAAAACTATTTTTTATTTTGTGTTAGTAAACTTTGAAAATATTGGGTCTCTAATTATTTGAAGCATTAAAATCAATAACTTTAGGGAAGATGCAACTATCACATTTATTAATGTGACTCTTTTTAACACTTCAGTTTAATAATGAAATCAAATTCTAAAAGTGTAGACGTGTTAGGAAAAGTTTCTCTCTGTTTTTTTTACCGGAGTGTTGAGGATTTATCAGTGTTAAAATTATGTGATTGTACAGATTTCCTTTGAGAAGTTCTGTTCATGTTTTTGAAGACTTTACACACTCCTGTATCTGATATTCATTATAAACAATGCTGCATTGAAAGGAAGTAAAAAAAAAATGTGAAAGATACACTTGTAAAGGAAGAACAAGATAGAAGTTAGGATTAGTGAATAATTTATACCACACTGCATGTGAAGTTAACTGCAATTGCATGGTAAGCCTTGTAATTTTCTACTGTTCATTATCTTCTAAATCACAGAAAAAAGAAATTATTCAACTTCCAGTTCTTTTCTGCCTGGTTTCAGTCATCTGTTCTAGTAGCAAAATAAATATTTGATATTTCAAGAAAAACTAATAACATTAATATAAAAAATAAAAAGATAAATATATTTAATTTAATATTATACCTAATAATAAAATCAGATTCCATGTGTAATTATTTGTACTGAAGTCCAACAGAGATTTTTTTTTCCCACGTTAAGTAATGTTTAAACAGCCTCTTCTGTTGACCAATTAGCTTTAAAAGGAAAATCTGATTTTTTTGGTGTGGGAAGTGAAATTTAATTGAAATAAAAAATCTAAATGAAAATTAAATCAAAAGTGATCAGATAATGAAAGTTTGCTTGTAGCACATTATTAATTTTAATTTACACCTGTTACAACTGGGTATGGTTTGATACCATAAATACATAATGAAGAAAAATCTATATCCAATATAATGGTATAATGTTCCAGCGTTTTGGTTAGGGAAAAGTATAAAATTCTAATTTTTTGAATTAATGCTAAATTCTGAAAATCTTATTTTTAATGTTCTAAGATGTTGAAATAAATATCTGCATTGCCCAATGTTCTTCTGAAATTATTCATAAAAAAAGAGTGAAATTTTTTCTTAAGCATACAATTATTTCAGTTTTCCTTGAAATTGGTTTATTACATAATTTTTCTGTCCCAAATCAGAAATGTTACATGATTTTACAATTGGTAGGTTTACAAGAGTATATTAAACCTATTTACCATATCTAATTGTTGAAATGGAATGTGGCATATGAATGCAAGCATTAGCTTTATAAACTTGTTAAAACAATACAAATTTTCTATTTTGTAAAGAAAAGTAAAGCTGCAGTATATTTGAGTACTGTGTACTTTATCTTGTTTTACAGTAAGACCATTGGTGAAAAATGCAGCTAGGTTACTTAACAGAGCAAATGCGCTATAAAAAATAAGCTGTGAAATTGTTCTTTTCAAGCCAAAGAAATTGTATGATTCAACCACGATCTAGTTATATCTCAAAAACCAGAATGCTCTATAAAAGAAAGAGAATTTAGTACTTCCTTTAGGCTAGATATATCAGTCTCGAGTCCCCAGTCATTTAAGTAATTGACCTGTTATGAATATATATATATGTGTGTGGCATAATCTGAGTAGTTATTTTTTTTAATACTATTATTATTATTATCATAATCAATGGGACTACTTATCTCAGGTTTTCTTAGCACATTCAGCCTATTGAGACTTTGTTTAAAAATGTCTTGTTTAAAGTACAGAATGCTAGTTTTAGACTTGGACAAAAAAGCTTTGAACTGGATTTGGTTGGTTCACAAATACATTCATTTTACAAATGATGGTGAACTTGAGAAGTCACCAGTGAAGTTCTACACAGCACATGCTGATGCCTAAGAAATTTTTCCATAAATAATAATAAATACAAAAACTTCAGCATTGCTATGTTGTGTATAATATTTTTGTTCTCATTTTGAAAACAACTAATAAGAGTTTACTACTATTTGTCTACAAATAATAAAATACATTTTAGCTGTGTATTGAACTGCTGCAATTTATCTGTATTTCCTAAATCAAGAAGTGTTTTATGATTGGTTCTAAAGTAAATGTGAAAAACCCAGAGAATTAATATGTATTTGTTTCGTGTTAGGTGACTGAGCCTGTCTTTCTATAGTCACACTAGTCAGTAAATATTAAGGTTCTTGGTAAATGCCAATTAGTCTGTGTCCATGTTAGCCACCTGGATCTGCTGCTTTTGTAATGGCTATGTTCTCTGTCAAGCCACATAAGGCTTATTAGAGTTCCTCACAATATGGATCTTCCAGGTCTGTTCTTCAGGATTTAGTACAAGTCTATTTAATGGTAATAGCACATTGAAATACAACATCTCAATAATACGTTGAAATTGATAGTTTGAAAGCCACTTAACATCCAGGGTTGAAATTCATAATTCTCTGATACTGTTAAACATTGTAGAACCTGATCTTTGCAGCTTTGATCAGGTACAAGGTTGACTATAAACAGAGAAATGAAGTGAGAGATCTTGCAGAAATGAAAATTTCATGATGCAGTTAGGAAAGCGAAGTCACATTTGGTAGACCTATTTAACAACAATTAGAGATATAGCTTCAAATATATCCAGAGATCTATGTTTGCATTTTGTTTGTTAAAATCTATAAAAATAGTTTATGGAAAAATAAATGAAGAGGTAAGTGGACGAGTAAAACTGAAAATGTGCAGTGCATTGTTTATAAGAATTAATGTATTTTTTTTTTTTTTGGTGTTTGTTTTGTTTCAAAACATTTGTTAATGTTGAAAGTAGCATGAAATTACCAGTATTACTGAAATAATGCAGATTATGGCCTTTAGGTGGAAAATGACAAATGTTGCACTAATTATTCTCGCATTTTAGCAAACCCATTTATAGTTGAAATATGTGTAGATTCAAGATAATTTTTCAAAATAATGAGGTCAGAAGATTGGATCTGGTGGTCTATGGCTTGCATCACATTGCCATAAGAAAAAAAATCATACCTTGCACTTTGGTGCTGTGGGTGCATTATACGGATAATAGTCAAATCTCATTAGTTAATTCAAATATTTCAAAAGTTTGTAGTGGATACTGTTGACTGACTGCATTTCTTCTTGTCTGTCAAATTCAGAGACAGCTAGCACAGGTAACCTTTGTGTTACTTTGCACGAATATCTAAAACAAAACTTAGAGCTACATAAATAGAAAGCACATCCAATAATCATGCAACATGACTACAACTGTATGGATATTTTATGTTAAATGAAAAATATTCTTTTAGATCTTTATGAAACTATTTACATACCTTTTTTTAAATTAATTACTTATTTTATTTTGCTGGCCAGTGCACAAGTTCTCAATATAGAACTTTTTAAACTTGTATGCTCTAATTACAGTATAAATCTTCAGAAATTTGGTTAATTATATAGCCTAGATCAGTGGTTCCCAATATTTTTTCCAACTAAAGAGGACCAATTAGTTCTGAGTTCTTGTCTCAGTATAGCAGATGTTGTTAAATACAAATATATTGCCTGTTGAAAGCTCTATGAAGAGCAATGATACATAGTTCACTGAAGCACTTTTATGAAACAACTTGTTTAGATTTGCACAAGAAATGGTTTGGAATATGTGATTATTAGCTTGATTCAGTTCCCATAACTAAAATATATTGTATTTTAGCTATAGGAAAAGTATTTAGCTAGGGTTTTGATGTTCCATATATCCTAAGTAGATTATTGTTCTTGTTGAAGTTAGAAATAATGTGTAGTGTATCATTTCTTAGCTGCCATTAGTTACTTAACATATTATTAATTGATAATGTGTGAGATGATTTATTAAGATTGAAAAAAAATTTTAGTGTGTTTTTTGTTGTGCAGTTCCTGCAGCAAAGGAAAAACCCCCAATCAATGTGGTTGGAGATGTGGGTGGACGAATTGCAATCATGGTGGTGAGTTGTGTAATTGAAATTGTTATGGCTTCTAGATTGTTTGTTTCTTTTAATTATTTGAAAAATGTAATTTTTCTTGTTTTAGTATCTTTGGAAAAATGTAATACAATGTTAAAATACAGTGTAATTTTCTTCCCCCATTGGGAGAGAGGTATTTGGTACAATTCTTTCTTTCTACTTTCCAACAATTACAGTTGTGGTGTGCTGCTCCTTTATTTTATCATAAAACTTGGAGAATATCTTTGTCCAATATGGCAATGCACGTTTTGTTTTTTAATTTTTATCTAGGCCCCAGTTCCAATTTTAGGAGTCAGAGGTCAAAGATTACAGAAACACATTCTAGTCTGCAGTTCCCTTATGTTTCCAACAATCCAAATGAAACTTGACACAAAGATAACTTTCAATATCCTTCACAGAGTAAAGCAAGCAGATTTTGGACTTGCAATTTAACAGGGTCAAAGATAAAAGAAATGGCAATGTATTTAATAAGGAGCTGTGAACCTAAAGACATTGTCTGTATGTGCAAATGTTACACAAGGTTGTTGTTGATAGTGTTTTAATTCACACAATGCATGAAATTGCATATACCACAACAAAGAATAGGTGTTATTTGCCCAAACTTAACCTTTTAAATTTTTTGTCCTTGTAAATAAATATATTTATGCAGAAACTGACTGTTCAATGTATTATAAGGTCACAATTTAGTGTGCTTCAATACATCTTTCTCACAAAGAGGTCTTGATGCTGTGTTAAGTGTCTGTGTGCAGTATATATTTGGTAATTTATGCCCCTTTCCACTTCCTTGAATACCTTTCTTTCTTGAAATCTGATGTATCCTGAGGCTCTAATCAAATAAGGTGGATGAGGGGAGGGGACATATTGCATTATCTGTTTCTCGTACAGATCTTATAAGAGTCATTAGTTTTCATAAGTGAATAAAATTTTACATGTAAACAAATTTAATAAAAACTGTTTTATAAACAACTCGCAGTTAGATGTGTAATGAATAGGCCATATCTTGTTGGTTTAAAACTAGCCTCAGTTATCCAATTGGCAGCCTTTTCTCAGTTACAATACATCATCAGCTCTACTTAATATACTAAAATCAACACTAAGAATCTTATAATTACATACAGATAACACATGTTCTGTAACATAGGAAGAAACCCTGGTCTATTCTGTGTATGTTATTTTATACAAGTGTTTAACCACCTAATAGTAAAACCTATGTATTCCTTGGCACAAACAGGCCATTTAACTTTGTACAATATGAATGACCTCTTCAGTTTTGAAATTTTTTAATCCGTAAAATTAAAACAAGTTAATTTTAAGGGTTGTCTTGAAAATAAATGTTGATTTAATTTTAAGGTATGTGTTACTTATAATTTGAAATTTTTCTTTACATTTTGAATATACTTTTGTCCAATATGGCAAGGCACATTTTGAATTTTTTTAGGCTTTCATTCCAATTTTTAGGGGTCAAAGGTTACGTAAACACATTTTAATTTGCAGTTCCTTTATATTTCCATCAATCCAAATGAAACTTGACACAAAGACACCTTGCAATATTTGTTACAGAATAACAGTGAAATATTATAGTGTGTGCTGCTCCCTTTTTTTTTTTTATCTTGAAACTTGGAGGGCATATTACTGAGGTATGATGACTTGATAGATGATATGGAATTCCTTTTTTTGGCAGCTGAATTGTTGAAAGAGCGTGGGGCTTATAAGATCTATATATTCATTTTACCAATACCAAGAGTTTGTTTAGTAGACTTTGATTTTTAATGAAGGCACATTTCAATTAGTTTGCTTCATAATAAAACTTCTAACTTTTACTGGTGTTTATGGCAATATTAATGTCAGAAAATGTTTTTGGGACTTGGTTGTAATTTCATTAACACACTCAAATGTTTTTATCAAATAAACTTTTTTTTTCAATTAACATAATATTCTATTTTATTAAAAAAAACAATCACTTCAACATTACATACATATAAGAACATACATGGAAGAAACCCTGGTCTATTCTGTGTGTGTGTATATCCTCCATTGTTGCAGAACATACATTATCTGTATGTAATGTTGAGGTTTCTAGTATAGTTTCTAGTTTTTAGTATATTAAGTAGAGCTGATGATGTATGTAATTGTGGATGAGAGAAAATTGGATAACTGAGGTTATCTTTAAATCAACGAGGGTTGATGTAATATTTACACATCAAACTGTAAGTTTTTGTTAATTTGTTTTTTATATTTTTTGATAAGTGATAAATTTTCTGAAATTCAGCCAAGGGGAAATTAATGATTCTTGTAGATATTAAGCATCATGGTTTACAGTCTTAAGCTAAGTAGTGAGCGATCCACGATTACCTCACTACTTTAAGCAACACAAGACTGATTTTTAGTGAAGTCACACTTCTATTAGCTTGCTTTATAAAACTTTGAATTTGTACTTGGGATCATTATTTTGTTCCTGTAAATTTAGATTAAAATATTTTGCCTCACATTTCTGTTTCAAACTGTTAAAACTTTAGGGTCATAAAAAAGAAAATCAAAATGCTGTCATAGTTTTGTCTATAGCAACAATTATTGTTCCTGTATATACTTTCTTAAAATCACAGATTGGAAAAGTGGATATCTTATATGTGGTGCATATATAGACATAGTAAGACAGTAATGAGCCTATTCTATTGAATAACAAATTTCAGCCCTCGGCTTCTGCAGACAAAAAACTATTGAAAAGAAAGAAAACAAAAGGGTCAGAGAATGATGTAGATGATAAAGAGGTTATAGTTATAGGTGATTCCTTGACAAGGCATGTGGATAGGAACATCTGTGGGGTAAATAGGGAGAAAAGAATCAGATTATGCTACCCAGGGGCACGGTCGGAGGATATAACTAATAGAGCAGGAGATATAATAAAGGGGGCTAGCTGAGATGCTGTTTTTGTGGTGCATGTAGAGGCTAATGATGTAGGGAAAGGTAGGTCAGAAAAGCAATCAATAAGTATAAAGGGTTAGTAAAGGCATTTAAAGAAAAAGGCCATTACTTAATTTTGTCAGGGATACTGCCAAGAATTAACTGTGGGGTTGAAATTATAAGTAGGTCACTAGGGCTAAATGCTAGGCTTAGGTTAGTATATAAGGATGAGTAGATTAGCTGGTTGGACTTGTAGGATCAATTTGGTGGAAGAAGGAAACTTTTTGGAATGGATGGTATACATTTAAATAAGATAGAGGCTGGCTTGTTTGCTGCGGCTATTAACTCAGCTGAAAGAAAGTGTTAAACTAGGACTATACATGAGGGCCAGGAAAAATGTAAATCAAAAAGAATAAGAGGCAGAGAAAAATTTAGCATAGGAAATGAGTATAGAAGTAGTTATAAAGATAGGCTTAATTGTTACTATTGTAATGCTAGAAGTATAAGATATAAAATAGATGACTTTAGAGCACTGGTAGGAATGGAGGATTTTAATATAATGGGAATGACTGAAACATGGTTAAATATAGATGATTTTGATGACAGAAATTTCTTTGAAATACTGTATTGAAATAGAGTATTAAAGAGGGGGCTTTATATACAATATACGAGTTACATCCTGTTGAAATTAAGGATATGAAGATAATAGTAACG